AGGTAATTAAAAACACGTCGGTGAACTAAAAAAGTCTCCGCTTCCGTAAAGCTTAATGCTAATGCCAATAGACAATAAGTAATAAAAATAATAAATAGGTGAATTCTCTGATAGCTGAGAAGACTGGGTGTTTTAGGACACATGAGAAGGTAGAACAGGGTGTGCCCTGGCAGTGCGGGTGGATTTTTTATTTTTAAATTATTGTTATGGCGTCTACACAAAAAGAGAAGGTGAAGGATAGGGAACGTGAAGGGGACTCGGGAACGTAATGGCATGGCCAGGGCCACGGCTTCTTGCCTGGGGCAGAGGGGTGAACAGAAGGCCAGGCTGGAGCTGAGGAGGAAGAGGGAAGAGGGAAGAGGGAAGAGGGAAGAGGGACACACCGGGGCTCCATTCCCTCCATCCCCCTGAAGTGCCTCTGGCACCGGGATCCCCCTTCCACCCTGACCCCCTAGGATTCCACCTCTGGTCCTGCTCCTGGCCCTCGTGACTCCTTGGAAAGATTATTTTTCCCTGACAGAACCTTAAGCTGGATGGTGTTGAGGCCCTGACAATAGTAAGGTGGTGAGGGAAGTTTTCATTGAGGAGCCGAGGCTAAGAAGCCCTGGAGCAGAGGGACAAACGATGCATGTTTTCACAGATGCTTTCACTGCTGTTTAAGAGCAGACAGAGGGGCCCAGGTAGAGAGGGAGACCTCCCAGGAGGCTGTGGCAGTGACCCGGCCTGTTACAGAAAACCACAGAACAAAGCAATACTTAGAGAAATGGAGCTACATTTATTACGCGCTGGTCCAGAGGAAAATGTTTCTCAAATTCTGGGCCCCAATGTGCAGGAATTCTCCCTATTTATATGATCCTACCCTGTTTGTCTCCCAAATATGGAGTGTTTCCGGCCCCATTTTGCAAGTTCTTAAAGAGCCAGTGTGTACTGGGGCCATGAGACCGCAACCAGAGGCCTGGCCTGGCGCCAGCACCGATGACCTTGTCTGGGGAAGGTTAAATCCACAGAAGCCAAATAGCAGAGTTAAAATTTCAAATAGCAGTTTTCATACAAGATGGATGCTTCAAGTCCAGGGAGGCAGCTACAGCCTCCAGGCTCCAACTAGTACTGACCACTTGCCTGTTCTGTGCCAACTAGAAGGGCCAACCCCAGCCAACCCCCGGGGGCAGGGTGCTGATCAGCATTTCAGAAGCTTGAGGCTAGGGGTCAGGATCAGGGGGTGGAGGTCAGCCAAGACTTCCCTTTGGCCAGCTCCTGACAAGCTTACTGACATCCAGAGAAGATGTGGGACATGAGTAGTTTCCCTCAGTATTTTCTCTGCTATTTTCAGCAAAGCCCACACACAGCTGACCCCATTTCCTCTCTGCCACAGGAGGCTCGCAGCATCTCGTAGGTCCCAGCTGTCCTTTGCCTGGGTCGGTTACAGACAGAAGTCCATCATCCTGCATGTGGGTGCAGTGCGAGCAGAGCGAGCACTTAAAGGTGGGCTGGTTCCCAACCCCTGAGGAACATGGGACAAGAGCACCACACAGAAACCTGCCATGGCTCCAGAGACCTGCTCTCCCCCCTCCAGGCCACTCCAGCAGCTTCCACGCTGGTTTCCTGTCCCCTTCGCAAGGCACCCACCCGAATGCTCCCAACACCACGCGCTGTCATGCTGTTCCCTTGCTCAACAGCTTCCGGCAGCTTCCTCTGGCCCCACACAACACACTCAGCATCACTCTGCCTGGAAGTTACATGACAGACTTTCACAACCTGCCCTGTAACTTCCCAACTTCTCTCCAACTACCTCTGTAATTTCATCCTTTCTCCCTATTCTCCCTCTCTGATCTCTCTCCTTCTCTCTCTCTCCTCTACTCCTCAGATTTGTCTGACTTACAAGGAATATCCTCCCACTGCCTCAGGTCTCTCTCTCTCTCTCTATTCTACTTTCGATCTACCATAGGAGCCCACTGTACTCCTCCTCCACAAAGCCTTTCCGATCACCCACAACAGCATCAGCTCCACGCGGCTCAGCCACCCACTTGTGTGGTGGCCTCACCGGTGCTGGGACCATGGCATGTGTGAGTTTCCCCCTCGGTGCCCAGCTACCTCAGGACCTTTTGCATATCAGACAATCAGCAGATGCCCAGACCACACAAGTCTAACTGGGCTGCCAGACCTTCACAAGCTCTTCTGACACCACCCCCTCCACTCCCCGCCCACAACCCCCTCCACTCCCCCGCCCACAATCCCCTCCACTCCTCCGCCCACAATCCCCTCCACTCCTCCGCCCACAACCCCCTCCACTCCTCCGCCCACAACCCCCTCCACTCCGCCCAAAACCCCCTCCACTCCCCCCCCACAACCCCCTCCACTCCCCCCCCACAACTCCCTCCACTCCCCCCCCACAACCCCCTCCACTCCCCCGCCCACAACTCCCTCCACTCCTCTGCCACAACCCCCTCCACTCCTCCGCCCACAACCCCCTCCACTCCCCCCCACAACCCCCTCCACTCCCCCGCCCACAACCCCCTCCACTCCCCCCGCACAACCCCCTCCACTCCCCCACCCACAACCCCCTCCACTCCCCCGCCCACAACCCCCTCCACTCCGCCCACAACCCCCTCCACTCCCCCGCCCACAACCAGAAACTATGCAGGCCAGACGGGAGTGGCAAGAAATATTTAAGTGATGAATAGCAAGAACCTATAACCAAGATTACTCTACCCAGCAAAGCTATCATTCAGAATTGAAGGGCAGATAAAAAGCTTCACAGATAAGAAAAAGCTAAAGGAGTTCATCACCACCAAACTAATATTATATGAAATGCTGAAAGGTATTCTTTCAGAAGAGGAAGAAGAAAAAGATAAAGATAAAAATTATGAACAACAAATGCATGTCTATCAACAAGTGAATCTAAAAATCAAGTGAATAAAAAAATCTGATGAACAGAATAAACTGGTGAATATAGAATTAAGGGCATAGAAAGGGAGTGGACTGACAATTCTCGGGGGGAAAGGGGTGTGGGGATGTGGGAAGAGACTGGACAAACATTGTACACCTATGGATGAGTACAGTGGGGGGTGGGTAAGGGCAGAGGGTAGGATGGGAACTGGGTGGAAGAAAAAGAGGGACAATTGTAACAATCTGAGTAATAAAGATTTATTTTTAAAAATAAGATGTGAAATATTTGCTGATAGGAGTTTCGGAATGAGAAGAAATTATTAAATAAACAGGCTGAGAAAATTTGCCAGAACAGAAAGAGAGGAATATTCACACTGAAAGGAGTCACCAGGAATCCTGAATCATGAATTTTAAAAAGAGGCATTGTGGAATTTCAGAAATAAATTGTATAGATAAAGAGAAGTCCCTAAACCTTCCAAGGGGTGAAAAGAGGTCACTTGCAAAGAAATGGGAATAAAACAGCATGAATTTTTCAACCGCTATCCTGGAAGCTGGAAGACAACTAACTGATGTCTTCAAAATTCTGAAGGAGAACGATTGTCATGCTAGAATGTTCTCCTCAGCCAAACTGTCAATTAAGGCAGAGTGCAGAGTCACAATTTTTCAGATATAAAAGTACTCAAAATTTTCTTCCCATGTCCTCCCTCTCTCCCCCAGGAAGCTACTGGAAGAGGTATTCCACCAAAATGGAAGCGTACAAACACGAAAAGGAAGGCCCGGAGCTGGAGGCAGGTGGGCCCTGGAAGGACATGTTCTTGGGAAAAATAGAACTGAAGGGCTGGAGTCTTCAGGATTGAAAGGAGGCACTGAACATACCTCTAGTCTAGAGGGTGTAGTGAGAATGAGAGACAAACAAAGAAAACTATTCTAATAAGGAAAAAGAGGCAAACATTAACTGCAGATAAAACATAAAAGTTTAAAAACAGAAAACATAGTCACGATACATCCAACTTGACTCTAAATGTTATTTATAAATTTATAAATGTTATTTATAAAATTAGAATGTGAATACTGAATATCCTTAGACCCCCAAACCATGATAACTATCTTGGGACGGTGAGGAGAGTTGGGGAGAGAAGCATGTTTCTGGGGGTGGATATAAGAGAGCTGGATTCTCAGCTACCATAATAGATAACACACAAAAAATGAGTTGAGAAATAGCAGTATAGATAAACACGTTAGTGTGAAATACAGATTTCTATCTGAAGAGACAGCTATAAGTATTTGCTTCTGGGGAACAGGGATGGGAACTGAAGAGGGAGGATGGCAGCATACTGTTTTTCCTTACAAATGTTTTAGTACTATTGACTTTTTGAACTACGCACACAAATTACCTTTAAAAATGTGAAATTAATTTTTTAAGCTTTTGAAATAAAGTTTATGAATAAAAAAAAAACTTTGGTACATTAACCATCAGTCTCTGTATCATTAAAGTTGCCTTATACTACATCCCCCAAACCAAACACAAGCATCAATATTTCAATTGGCTCTAGTTCAAGTTCCTACATACTCTTTGAAAAAATTAGGGGTCAGTGGTGGAAAAAGGGGGACATCTGTAATACTTTCAACAATAAAGATAAATTAAAGTTTAAAAAATTACAGTGTCCTAGCTTAATCCCCACCATCTGCTCATCCTACCTTTCCCACCCTCAACTTGAACTTTTGGCGAGTAGCATACTGGTAATTATTAATCAATTCTTGGGGGGAAAGAGTTCTGATTTGTAGCATTTGCCAATTTCTGTGGTGTAAATATTCCCGTAGTGGCTGATTTCAAGCTATCACTATGCCGTCATTGAATGTGGACATGGGAAGAGGGACACACATAGGCTCCAGCAAACTACTGCCTTTGGGCCTCTCCAGCCTCACCAGCCGCCATGCTTCCCACCGGACTCAGGGTACCAGGGAGACCTGAGTAAATCCTCCCAAAGCCAGAGACCCACAGGGGGACGCAGTCGCAGTAGGAGTGGGTGCTGAGGGGAAAAGGAGTGGTCTGGCTGCAGGGAAAAGGTGAGGAATTGGTGGCTTCCTTCCTTCCCCGCCGCCGGCAGAGTTACCTGCTCATTGGTGACCCCCGGGCGCAGGGTCCCGTGCTTATAGTCCTCCAGCAGCTGCACGGCCTCTCGGAGACGTCTCTGCAGGGAAGAGAAGGGAGACGTTGAGGGGCACAGACCCAGGGCTCCATTAACCCTTTCCCATTCCGGAAGGCATCTGTGTTGATCAAGGATTGACAATAGCACAGTGTGCCAGGCCTGCCCTCCAGTTCATCGGACACACGCTGCACAACAAAGAAGGATGCAACCTACACGTCCTTTCGTAGGGAATTGGCCAAGTGGCTGTGCGATAAGAATGCCATGAAACATTATTCGGCAGCTGAAAAAGTGAAGTAGATCTACATGCGATGCTATGGCCATAACTCCCAAGATATTTCCTGAGTGAGAAAGCGAATTGCAGAGCCATATGATACCGTGCATTGTACCAAACAAAACACGCACGCACACACACACACACACACACACACACACCCCAGTGTTTTCTATGGGAATATGTATGTGTGTAAATAAATAAATAAAAAAAGCTTCGGGAGGAGACCACCCCAAACTGGTGACAAGGGTTATCTTAGGGTTGGAGAAAAGGGCCCGATTTGGCCAGGAGTATCATAAGGAACTTTAATCTTAATTGCAATACTGAAAGTTTTTATAGAGAAAACATATTTATGTAATACTGCTATAATTTCTTTTCAAGATTTTAAAAACACTAGCAGAGATTTACATACTAACATGCATATGGCTACAGTAACTGATGGGGAAAGAGAGAAAATAAAAGAAGATAAAAATTGTATGATTTTTAAAAATTTAAAAGCTAAAGAGACAGTGACTGTGATCGATGGCCACCTCTGTCCACCAAAACATCTGTATACTAGTAAGTATGATCATAGCAACACTACTGAAATAGTCTCAAACAATTCAAATGCCAATAATAGACTGAATAAATTGTCGTCTATGTACACAATGAAATATCATACAATTTTAAAAAGCAAATTACAAATACATGTTACAACGTAGATGAATCTGACAAACATAATGTAGCCAAATGTGTTTTCCAAAAATGGCCACCCCAATTAATCCCATTCCCCATGCTCTTCCAGAACCTTCTCACATCCTCTATGCCCCCAAACCTTGATCCAGGGAAGATTGTCATGACTGCCTCAACAAACAGAGTTTGAGGTTAGGTCATAAAAATGCCTTGCACCTCCACCTTGTTTTCTTGCGATGGTTGCTCTCTGGGAACTCAGCTGCCGTATTGCAAGGAAGCCCAAGCACCCCATTTAGACAACCACATGTAGAGCGACTGAGGGCCTGGCCCACAGCTCCAGCTGAACCCCCCGCGGATGCTCAGCACCAGCTTGCTCACCGTGCAAGTGAGGCACCTTGGAAAGGCCCTTCCATCCCCCTGCTCAGAGCAAAAACAAACCACCCCCCTCTTAGCCCGGCCCAATCTGAGGACCCGTGAGCTAAATGATGGACTGTTGTTGTTTTGAGCCACTATATTTTGGGGTGATGTCTTACGTAGTAATAGACAGCTAATATGCATGATAAGCAAATAAGTTAGATGTAAAAGAATATAGTATACAAAGTTAAAAAAAAAAAAAAAAAACACAGGCAAAACTCACCTATGGTGGTAGAGGTCATTAGAGTGCCACCTTTAGGGGTACTTACTGACTGGGAAAGGACATGAGGGAACCCTCCAGGGTAATGGAAATGGAAATGTCTGATCCAAGTGGTGGTTACATGGGCATGAACATATGTCAAAATCCAAAAAGCAATACACTTAGGATATGTGCATTTTACTGTATGTATGTTGTATTTAAAAAAAAAAATAGTAATAAACAGACAACAGTGATAGAAGGTAGCTTATGTCAAACACTGGTGAGGGACCCAGCCATCAGGGATGCCCAGTTTGGGGGGGGAAAAAAAATCAAGTGAAGCCACCATTCCCCTCCTTAAAAAAAAAAAAAAAAAAAAAAATATATATATATATATATATATATATATATATATATATATATATATATATATATGAAATTGGTTTCAGAGAGGAAGAGAGAGGGAGAGAGGCATCGGTGATGAGAGAGAATCATTGATCTGCTGCCTCCGCCTCCTGCACACCCCCTACTGGAGATGGAGCCCACATCCCAGGCATGTGCCCTGACTAGGAATGGAACCGTGATCTTCTGGTTCTATGCTCAACCACTGAGTCACACTGGCAGTGTACCATTCCCCTTTGACAGAGGAGGGGCGAGGCTGGCCGGAAACAGGAGTAGACAAGACCTCAACGTAAGCCCATTCGTTGGTCTAGAGGAGGTGGCAACGGGAGAGGGGGGTGTGGGAAGAGACTGAACATAAACTGTGCACCTATGGATGAGGACAATGGGGGGTGGGGAAAGGGCAGAAGGTGGGGTGGGAACCTGGTGGAGGGGAGCAATGGAGGTGGGGGGGGGGAGAGTGAAGAACATTTATAATAATATGAACAATAAAGATTTATTTGAAAGTAAATAAATAAATAAATAAATAAATAAAATAAAGGAGGCGGCAGCACCAGGAAGGGCACCGGTGGAGCAGACAGCGGGTCTGCTGAGCCAGCTGACAGGGAGGCCTCACAGGGTGAAAAACGAACAGCAGCCTCCTGTCCTGTAACAACGGAGATAACTGCCCGTTCGGACGCCCCGGCCCAGCAGGACTGGGTGTGAGGCACCCAAGGCCCGGGCTGGTCTAACCAAGGGCCTCAGGGGCCAGGAAAACCTGCTTGGGGGCAGCCTGACTGCTGGGCAGTACTGTCCCTGCCCTTTCAAATAGATGTGTATCAATTTGGACATCCAGAGAGCTTTCCCAGAATCTGCGCTTCCAAACTGGAGACAGCTTTGTGTTTTCAGGGTTCCCCCTTTCAATTAATTCCCCCTGGGTAGAGGAAATGCCAGCAGAGAAAAGAAAAGAAAAAAGAAAAAAAACACAGAGAAAAGCACAAAAATCATTTTAAATCACCTGTAAACATACCACTGAGATCACTGCTGCAAAAGTAGGGCGATACTCCTCCAGTCTCATACATTTGCTTTTCACGTGGACCGTTGTTTTAACTTGCTTACAGTCATGCAGATAGACAGTGGGCAGCTTGGTCAGACCCTTTCTCTGTCCCCCCACCACCACCCTCAAAGCCTCCTGGTGCTGCCGCAGCCCCCACCCCTGGCCCGCTTCCTCCCTGGGCCGCAGCTCCCGCCCGCAGACAATGAGTGCTCCACTTTCCGCCCTGAATGGTGAATGGCCCGCGTTCTCATTATTCCCCCACCCCAGGGATTCTCCCGAGTTCCTCTAACAACCTGGCCAGCTTCCATCCCATTGGACACGGTCATCAAAGGGAGGCCCCCAGCCACAAGAGTGGGTTCCCAAGAGCGCTCCAATCTTGGCGTGGGTGGAGGGGGAACAAAATCCAAAGTTCCTGAAGACAAAGCTGGGAATCCACGACTGCAGGAAGCTAGAACCTGCTCTTCTGCTTGGGAGCCTTCCCGGCCCTCCGCCAGGCCCCGTCAGAGGCCCCGGGCTGCTCTCTGGGACAGACGGGGGCCGAGGCCACTTACCTTAGGCCCCTGAGGGCTGGCTGCTCTGGGGCCCGTCTCCCCACAGAGAAGGGGGCCATTTTCAGGAGAGAGCCAACCCCCCTCTCACCCTATGCATTGCGGGGCTTGGCAGAAAGCATGAGAGGGGCGAAGGAAGATGGAGGCCAGTGGGAGGGTGAACTTTGCAGGAAGTTCGCTCAACCAGGAACAGGCAGCCGGGCCCTGAATGCAGGCGGGCGAGGAGCCCGGCCGGCTGGAGGTAAGACTGGGAGCCCAGGACGCCCAGGCTGCTGCCTCCCAGACTCCGCCGCAGCCTGCCTGCCTCTGGCTCACCTGCCAACAAGTGTCCCCGGAGGGTGTCTCCGGGGCATGGTCTCCAGAAGGTCCCTCGGAAACGTTGGTACCTGGGAGGTGTGTTCCGGGGGCAGGGGATTTGGCCAGAGGAGAATCCTGGCCCCAGATCCCCAGGGGAAGAGGAAGCAAAGGGACAGGCATGGAGTGTTAGGGTGGTGGACACAGAGCGGGAGAAGGGGCCAGATAGGAATGGGGACAGAGGGACACAGAAGGGAAGGGCGCAGGAAGGAAAGCTGGGCGTCATCAGAAGGAAAACCAATCTGTTTAGGGGTGCAGAGAGGGTAGCCTAGCACCCCCCACCCCAAACTAAGTGCAGCCTGAGTATAATCCCTGCTTGGTTAAGAGAGGATGGCAAATGGATATATATACTTAATGTAGGAAAATACCTAACATGTTAAATATCTGATGGGAGTGGCGGCATCTGGCCAGGATGGGAGGAAAGCCCAGAAATATTTTACCCTCCCTTTGGTGCAGGGACCTCCACTCTCCAGCTGGTACCTCTATGTTACCACCTCCTGAGTTTGCCCACACTGTTCACGTCACCAAGACACCCTTCCTCCCCAAGTCCATCGGCAACCTCATCCACCCTCCCCCCACCACCACCAGGCTCACTTTCCAGGAATCTTCCGGAAGCGCCCCCTCCTGTGAACAGGCAGAGAGCACGGGTTTGCACCTCTCTGAGCTGCCTGCCCCCTTCCTGCCCGTGTGCTGACGTTCCCTGTCAGACCGCCAGGTGCAGGGAGCGGGGAGCAGGGCTTGGTTTTAGGTTTCTCTGCAGAACCACCCCAGCCTGTCACCACCCGGGGCCACATATAATGTGTGTTTAACAAAAATGCACGACTGAGGCTTCTAGAGGGAGAGGCAAAGGGCATGGTCAGGGTGAGGAATCCAGGTTCTACAGCATCAGACCCATGTCAGTGGACGGTGATGCAGGTTTTACACATTCCCCGGATTCCGAGAGACTGTGCCCTGTTCACAAAGGACACAACTAAAACACGCCCTGTGTGTGTGTGTGTCGTGGCATCATGTGGCCACCCCTTTTCTGAGGAACTGGGGCCACTGAGGGAGGGGCATGTCCTCGCTCAGGGTCACAGAGTGTGGGTGGCACTGGAAAGCCATCACACCCCGGTTCTGAGCCATCTCCCCGAGATGTCGACATGGAAGAGCCCCCTGCTCTCACCACGGTAATTGAGGGCGGGGCGGTCTCAAAAAGC